TAGCTTCGGCCCTGCCGGACAGAGAGAAGCGAGCAGCGAAGGACATGGCGGCAAAACGTCGTGCACATGTTGCCGACGAACATTTTCTCGATCCACTCGAAATGTACATCGTTCCGACACTTTTACCGGACCATTCCTTCTTCAGAAATGTCTACAGAATCCGATCCTGGGTAGAGTTTTCGTGCTGAACAAAAAACTTTTCGTACAAATACAAAAACATTGCGCAGAAACTGCTCACGTCGACACTTTTTTAAACTTTGACATTAATTTATTGCTATTTAGGATAAAAAACAATTAATAAATTGCATGCCACTATATTCGGAAAACTCTCCTCTATCTTTTAACACCAATTAGAACCTTCTAACGTTTATACTTTTCATGCAATACCTCATTTTTGTCGAAAATTTTGGGTTTGTACAAAAGTTCGTTTATTTAAAAAACTGAGGGTGATGGAGCAATTCGGTTTTCGGATTCTTGTTCAGGAAGTGAAGCTGTACAAGAATTTCATAGTGGCTATAGAAACCCAAAAATCGTGTCGGACAGTGTTATTTGATAATCTAGATTTTATATAGATTTCTCATATAATGTTGCATTACTCAGGTATATCAAATTACATTTTTCAAATCATTAATATTATTAATATGTATATAATAATATTACTACTATTCTATTATATTCTATTATACTATTCTAATATTATTACTATTCTACTTGCCATGTTTGAGTTTCATTTTATTAAATACGCGACGCCCTGTTTGATCATTAATTTATTAATTACGTCCCTGTAGACGTCTTCAAAATATATTGTGTAATCTAAAATTGATATATTTCAAGTTGAAACATATTTTTTAGTATTCCTGGCAATGCTGTAACATTTAGCTTTATTTAACATGAAGCTTTATTTAATTATTCCGCTGACGTAGTTTTGAATTTATTTAATAATTAACCTCAGAGAACCGATATTTCTGTTACAGGGAATCTTGATAATATCGATTCCAAGTACTCGTTATTGACGATTTTTTTTCTCATTAAAAATACGGTGGGGGTTGGTAGAGGATATATTTTTCCTGAATACATGTGTAGGGATGAGTGATTCGAACGAAGCCATTCTTGATTTTACTTATGCAAAATGAAGAAAATATAGCATACTGATCTGCTATATATGGTCTGGATGAAAATATTTTAAACATGGACGCTAACGATGCTTTTTCCGCATTAAAATTTTCAGACGACGCTACTATTGGTAGCTACCACAGTGTACTCGAAACCAGCTCCGGAACCACCGAGTTCGTACTTCCCCCCACCAAGCGGAGGCGGCCCAAGCGGACCCGGTAGTTATGGGCCACCTTCGCTTCCGGATCGCTACGGACCTCCTCAGCAGCCACCCGTCGTTCACAAGCACGTTTACGTCCACGTGCCGCCACCAGAAGCTCCAGAATACAAACCACCGAAATACATACCGGCCGCGTCACCACCACAGAAACACTACAAGATCGTGTTCATAAAGGCACCGACGCCACCAACGCCAACGGCTCCGGCTCTGCCGCCGCTCCCACCTCAAGACGAAGAGAAGACCTTGATCTACGTGCTGGTGAAGAAACCAGAAGAAGCGCCGGAAGTTGTGCTGCCCACGCAAGCGCCTACGCAACCTAGCAAACCCGAAGTATACTTCATCAGATACAAGACACAGGTAAGAATATTGTGTAATGCTTTTCGATCAATTACAGGCAGAATTTCTTTTTTCTCTTTAACGTTATTCGATTATTGTTAGAGGAGAATTTGGATCGAAACTGAGAAATTAATTTCAGGACAAGTGATTAATCTTAGAGAATAAGTTTCAATTTAAATTTTTTAAAAGGTGTCTTTCGCGACCCTCTTGGTGAAGATAATGTTAAATTAAAATTTTTAAATGTGTCCTCCGTGACATCTTTAATAAAAAGTAGCGTCAAAGTAAATGATATGGATTTTTGAAATTGATAAATTGTTTTAAATACAGGTCATTTAGAAATGACCTTATAACTTTGTCAACTCAAATCATATATCTTTTTATGAAGTGCTTAATATTTTTTACAAAATTAAAAAAACAAATGATACAGACTTAATATTCGTACGTTGCAGATTTTGAAAATAGACCATCTTCTCAATGACCAGCTCTTATCATTATACATATTTTGTCGCAGGGGTTACTGCGACGGTTTGTATAAAATAATCCGAGAGTTTTTTTTTGGTTTTTATATAACGAGAACTTTAATATAACTTGTAACAAAGGCGATGAGGTACAGTGTGTAGAAGGTAAAGGTAAACGAGTGACGGATAGTACAGAAATATGGACACGTTGAGAGTCGGAGGAAAACTTGCTAACTGACTTCTCGGTCGAGAGGTCCTCGTATTTATTTGGTAGGGAAAGTCCTTGAAATTGGTAAGGGAAAGTCCTCGGGAAGGGCGAAGGCCTTTCCCGAAGATTTTCCGACCGGGGTGATCCGGGACCTATGGTCCGAAGCTGTGTCCCAACGTTTTTGTTGTTTTATTGCGGGGTGTACGCCTTGCGTCGGGAAAACCCGAAAAAGGCATGTGTACACCCCGCTTTTGAAGGACGTGTCTTTTTATGTCTGGTCCGCCACAATATATTCGAACAAAATAAACATGTGGCAGTAATTTGTAGGATAAATCTAAGTTAATATTTAAAATAATTACTTTCAATAATTATTGAATTTAAAAAACAAATTCGCATCATTCATGAAAAAATCAATAGTAAGTTACTGCTTACTATACTATCTATATCGAAATATGTTTTTCTTAAAGCGACGGTAATTTTTTAATGGATTCAGTCACTCTATCGTGAATAGAATCACAATTTCTGAAAAATAACGAAATATTAGAACGTGTTCATGATATCACTGAATACCATTGAAAAGAAATTATATTATTCCGGCATATTTAAACGAAAAAATAAAAGGAGATAATCGATGTCTTCTTGCACTATTTCACAGAAGGAACAACAGAGCGCAGAATACGGACCTCCCCAACAATCGCCACCCTCGGACAACTATGGCGCTCCTCCATCAAGCTCCGGTGGTCCTTACTAAATAGCTTTACCTCCCATAAACTCGTTTCCTGTGAACGAAATACTCAGAACAGATGAATCTCAAACCACAGAGACTTTGTTCTAAACAGTAAGCTCATCGATTACGAGATCTCGTAAACGTTGTGGCAGCAGATAATAGAAATGTTACCGGTATTAATCATTATAGGTTCCGTAAATAGATTTAGATATCGATATCATTTAGCCTTGTACATTCCTAGCAACTTATTCGCAACACCCTGAGATACAGACTTGCTACGTTCGCAAAATTTCTTGAGAAACCGACAGGTAATCGAATATCCGAGGTATAAACATATTCGACCACAAAATTTTATATTCATTAGGCACCTGTGTTTCTGAAAATTAAAGTCTCCTGATATCTGTTAATGAGCTTTCTAGACGATGTTCGCGATTTCCTGATCGATGTAAATGATTGTAACCTATGTATGTGTATTTTAATAAATATATTTGTACTTTTGTAGAAACCCTTTGTGTTTGTTTATTTTCACGTTAAAACGGAGATTTAGATTTGAAAGATTTAAGGAACTCGTAACATATTCGAGCCTGCAGCTTTGTTTTCAGCTTTATTTTTGGCGTTTTGTTGTATCGAAACTGTGAAACGATTATGAAAATTTTCCTTTCCTAAAAGTTTTGGAGGCTTAACGAAGACCTCCCATGATTCAGGTAAGTACAGCAATACGGGAAAATTTAGTTTATGTTGAAACAATTTTATTAAAAACAAAGATATAGGAACCCGGGATAAACACCTGAGGGGATGATACAGTTTCTTCAAAAATAAATTCGTCTGGAAATAATTATAACACATTTAAGCTTACGTTTAAAAGTTTCGCTTACATAAACATTAGTAATTCTTTACTGAAGTTAATAGCACAATTTTGTAATAAGGACTTTGAATATTTTGGTTAAACGTTAAACAGATATTACGAAAGTGTTTTCAAATATCTTCCTCGGTAAGAAAGTATATTACATTTTTTAAATGCCAATACAATAGAGGATCACTCTTGATGCGGTAATTTATACGTTATTATTATTGAAAATATATTATTTTAAAGTTGAAATGTGGATAGTGTATCTCCATTACAGTATCTCCATTCAACTGTTTAAATTATTGTTTGTAGTTACCATTGCATTCTTCTAAACACTTTCTGTCTGATCGTCTAACTTTTTATATGTATTTATCAAAAATATTTAGAAAAGTATGTATTTTTCCGGAACTATGTCTAAAAATAATCCTGAGTACACTTTTCTTCATGCATATTTCCTCACCAAATTTTTTCCACAACGCCTACTATTAATAATGAAATTTTCTTAACACAGTTCTATAAATATTAAAAATAATATTTCTCTTTTTAATCAGTCACATTGAAAGTTTCTTTAACGCATTGAGTGCCGATGATCAATCTCTAAATTTCCTACAAAATTAAGTATTTTAATTAATGAATTCGAAATTAGAAAGTTAAAATTTATTATAACAAATATCCTAGTAAAATTCAATTTGTTTATATATGTTACGATAAAAATGGATTTCGAAAACTAGTCGAAAGATTAGTGTCAATCATATGTGGCCGACGGGACACTCAACGTATTAAATTCAATGGCGATAACGTTCGATATATGATATTCAGTATTAAGAGTGATTATTGGCATTACATAAAATCTAAACAAGTAAATTACTTTGTACGTAACTAAGCATGTTTATCAGTCATACTCGCTAATGTATGATTTATTGGTATAGCATGTAGTAAAATGTATTGTCAGTCGTCCACTGTTTACAGAGTTTCATAAAAATTCTGCTTCAGACATATATATTCATAGCCAAAATATTTGAACGTATGCAGTAAGTGATAAACATGCTTTATTGACGACCATAAGAGTCAATTATCAGTTATGATTTATCCATCCATTAATTTAAAGCAACACTTACTATTATATCACAAATATCCCTTACGAGTGAAACACTACACCAAATAGCAAGATATATCATCACAGATGCAAATACTCCTTTAAGCAATTCCATCTCAAACTACACAAAGTGAAAATACTTGATGTTAATGCAATGCATTAAAGGAGTGCTTGAATCCTTAAATTTGAATTCTACAGAAAGAACATGAGCCGAAAAATAATTGCTACAATAAAATAAATAATACACATCTGATTAAAGCTAACTAAACACGCAGGCAAGACATACATAGAGTTAAAATAATACCTAATTAAAATTGTGTTTGTGTGCTATTACATTGATCAAGTAAGCATCAATGACATTCTTAAACCCTTGCCTTATGATTTCTTCTGCAACTGAGTTCATTCGAGTTGCTTCATCCGTAATTGTTCGTTAGAGGAAAGAGAAATATATTGGCATCAGAAAAATAGTGTTCCATTTAAATTCTAAACAATTGAATGACATTCATATTTCTTAAATTCCTTTTGGAATATTCACCACGAATTTTGCACTTTATAAGACAAAAGCTTAAATACTCCACAGATAATCACTGGAAACTACTACATAAAATCTTATTTAATCCCAAGTTAAATTAGATAAAGTACAGAATAACGCCAGAGTTGTATATACAGGGTAAACCTTTTAATCAAACACATTCAATTATCTTTAGTTCCTAATAAAACAAGGCTCTAATGTGAGCAAAATTATACATTTGAATGAATGTGTCCTTTTAAAAACTTCACCCCCTATTTTCTCAATGAATATTTCTAGAGCAAAAAAATAATGTTCTTCTGAAATGTAATATAACAAGTTTAACAATATTAAATAAGCATCTTTTTTGTACATATATAAAGTGTTATATACTTTTCACGTAATGCAACCATACACAGTTACACTGTGCCACACTTTGGAGTGTGGTTTTACCAACAGTAATGACCTTAACATTAATATGACCTGTAAAAGAAAATACATGTGTAAAATCTTTTTGAAATGAACTCCGTATAAAGTTTCGTTAAAATCAGTTAAATACTTGCTTGTATAAATTCTCAAAATATCTGAATACATATTTGTCCTGCATAAAAACACAGTGTATAAAAATTCTTTGCACATAAAAAATTTGCTTTTTTTTTATCTCTGCAACAAGATTTCTTTAAGCACCAAAAAATATATCACATATAGTTTCCTTAAAAATTTCTCTATGGTAAGAAAAGTTTATTTTTCTCATTCTATATTCCTCGGATGTTTCTTAAGGAGAGCCTTCTTAAGTGGTATAGAAAGTAGCGGATAAGACAGGTAGATTATGTGACCACAGTAATAAATGGAAGAATAAACTTGATTGTAACGAGAAAATGATAAAAGATGGAAACAGACGACGCTGTAGCCCATGAAGATAAACGTGTAGATGAATGTAACTATTGAGAATAGAATTCGAAGCTCGAGATGATCTTTCAGCAAACTCTGTAGTTTCTCTTGCTTCTCGAATATTGAAGTCAACTGAAAAATAGAAGAAGATTTTATTAACCAAGTTGTTTAAATAAGTTGTTCGCAATTATAAAAACATAAAATAACATTGTTAATAGTGATTTCATTTAAAAATAACTGGATGTAAACATGTTCTGCCATTATTTACATACCCCTTTTGCAAAACTTGAATTTGGCAGAACACGAAAAACGATGTGTCATTTTTTCAAAAATTTCTGGTTACCCATTCTTTTGAAGATCTTAATGACTTAACAATATAATGCTTTATAATGTACAATTAACAACATACACAAAATAAATTACTAATTTGGAAGGTGTAGTAGCTGTATTAATTAATTAATTAATTCGGCCATGGAGATGGTAAAAATATATGTGATCAGGGCGACTCACAATTTCCCTGTTTGAAAAATATAAATGTAATCATATCTAAAAAAAAATTACACTTACGTCTTTCTCAGCGTACATAATGATGAACTCAAGGAAAAAGCATACATAGTATCCTGAATGAAATCCATGCCATAATGCAAGGAAGAATAATGTGAAAAATTGGCTATAGAACTTCGATCCCATGAATTTCAATCTCTTATAAATATATTCTGCACACCAATTATTTGTATTTGTGTTAAATGACATGATATAATGATTAAATCGATTCGCCGTTTCAAAGGTGAACAATTTAACATTTTCACAACCATCCCAAAGGAGCTCGCCTTTCTCATTTCTTCCAGTGTATGTCAAACCAAATGTTGTGCAGACCTAAAATAACAATAACGATATTAAATGATATTAATAGAATAATTTCAGTAATTTATCCAGAAGTAACTATGTAATTAAATGGGGTCATGATTGAATAAAATTTTGAATTTTTTGTGTTGTCAACCGGAAAAATTCCATTCAAACAATCAACGCATCTTTAAATTCGCGATACGACTTCACTAGTTACGTAGAGAATCTTTAGAGAATTGTGTAATGTATTTCTCGAAATTGTGAAATATTATATTGTACATATTAACTGAAAAATTATAGATGTATATGAACTTTTTGTTCATGTATTTATAAACATTGTGAAGAATAATTCTCATTTATTTAAACAGTTTATTCAGTAGGCCTTCGAAACGTGACAATATCCAGTAATTTGGAAAATGTTTGAATAAATAAATCATATTCCTAGGCAAAAATTTTTTAATACTGTGTAACGGAGTATCTTTACCTTTTGTAATTTTTAAAGAGTTTGGATGGTATACGAATATTACACATTTGTGCTTTACAGTGAAAAATGTTTTTGCAAACTAATATGTCTACATTATTTGATTATCTAGTCCTACTCACCCCTTCAGAAAATAGCCAGCAACAAATGTATTTGTACATATTCACATGGCCCCAGAAACCCATTATAAGAAGACGTTTAAAGAAGGACTGTTTCTGGTATTCCAAACTTAGCATGTACTGATCCGAAATGTACATTGTCCCTAATTGGTAGAGCGACACGTACACAAATCCGATAAGCATACGAGAAATCCCAGGAACAAGACAAGGTGGCAATTCTTTCTGAGAACACTGAAAACATAAAAGAGTCAGTTAATCACATTTGTACAACTATTATTAGCTGCATCGCTTTATAAGCTCAATATTTAATTTGGTGTTGGTACAGAACTGATCAGAGTTTATTGATCCACATGTTACATATAATCAACAATATCGATCTAACGTCATAGTAAAACTGTGCAAAACTGAAATCGGCATTTTGACAATAGATAGAAGGTATCGTACTAACAATTTTTATTTTGATTTGATAATATTTCTTTTTCAGAATTCAGTAAGATAAGTGTTTTGCTATATCATTGATTTTTAAAATTTTGTATGCACAAAAATGCACTATTATAAAGTAATGTCGACATCATTAACTAATTAATTATTTTGTGAACCTCACTAATTCTGCAAAAGAAACATATATGTAACAATTGAAGCAAGACAATTTTTATGTGAGTTCTTTTGCAGAATTAGTGAGGTTTACAAAATTCAAAACACCAATTGTCTGACGGGCACGATGTACAATGTAAAATATATTGTAAATTCTAAATTTTTTTACAAAAAATCATCACTATGCATAAAATTGTTATTTTTGTTCTGTTTTATCGCAATTATTATATGACAAACCAATGAGTTACTCAATTAATTATATGCCATTTAAATGTAACTTACGTCAGCCATCAAGGTTCCATTTACGTAGTCCAAGTACCTTTTCATACTAAATTGTGGCCCGACAAGGAAAGAGCCTGGAAAGTACACAAACGCTGTAACTTCTAAAAATGTTGGTCGCTCTTTTAACGCCGCTTTCCTCTGCGACTCGGACAATTTCTTCTGAAACGACAATTATACGGTTTAATGAATTTTAACTCTTTCATAAAATTCCATGATAATTTCGAAGAAGCGTGCTTTTATATACTTTTAAGCGTTAAATACTAATCTTCGAACCACACACATTTTTACCTCCTACGTCTAATTTTAAAAACAAATGTCGTTTTTATAAAAAAATTATACTGTGCACTTGTACAACTTAATATTATATTATATCTACGTAAATACTATCAACATGTAATGAAACTTGGAATTACTGCAAAATTAAAATTTACAATCTAAAAATTCTCAGAAGTATGTTCTTTGTAATTAATAACTAGACTGTGGATATTTATGCAAAATAAAATCTACAGTCTATTAATAACATATAATTGGCAGAAATACAAATTTAGTTCGTATTTATGCGGTTTCAACCATTTTGTTTCCCTATATAAAGTACAACAAGATCTATAACTCAAATTCAAGTTCTGACATACAGACTGTAATAACACAAAAAATTTTATTCTACACAATTTACAGCAAAGAATATTGTTTTACGTNATGTATTTCTCGAAATTGTGAAATATTATATTGTACATATTAACTGAAAAATTATAGATGTATATGAACTTTTTGTTCATGTATTTATAAACATTGTGAAGAATAATTCTCATTTATTTAAACAGTTTATTCAGTAGGCCTTCGAAACGTGACAATATCCAGTAATTTGGAAAATGTTTGAATAAATAAATCATATTCCTAGGCAAAAATTTTTTAATACTGTGTAACGGAGTATCTTTACCTTTTGTAATTTTTAAAGAGTTTGGATGGTATACGAATATTACACATTTGTGCTTTACAGTGAAAAATGTTTTTGCAAACTAATATGTCTACATTATTTGATTATCTAGTCCTACTCACCCCTTCAGAAAATAGCCAGCAACAAATGTATTTGTACATATTCACATGGCCCCAGAAACCCATTATAAGAAGACGTTTAAAGAAGGACTGTTTCTGGTATTCCAAACTTAGCATGTACTGATCCGAAATGTACATTGTCCCTAATTGGTAGAGCGACACGTACACAAATCCGATAAGCATACGAGAAATCCCAGGAACAAGACAAGGTGGCAATTCTTTCTGAGAACACTGAAAACATAAAAGAGTCAGTTAATCACATTTGTACAACTATTATTAGCTGCATCGCTTTATAAGCTCAATATTTAATTTGGTGTTGGTACAGAACTGATCAGAGTTTATTGATCCACATGTTACATATAATCAACAATATCGATCTAACGTCATAGTAAAACTGTGCAAAACTGAAATCGGCATTTTGACAATAGATAGAAGGTATCGTACTAACAATTTTTATTTTGATTTGATAATATTTCTTTTTCAGAATTCAGTAAGATAAGTGTTTTGCTATATCATTGATTTTTAAAATTTTGTATGCACAAAAATGCACTATTATAAAGTAATGTCGACATCATTAACTAATTAATTATTTTGTGAACCTCACTAATTCTGCAAAAGAAACATATATGTAACAATTGAAGCAAGACAATTTTTATGTGAGTTCTTTTGCAGAATTAGTGAGGTTTACAAAATTCAAAACACCAATTGTCTGACGGGCACGATGTACAATGTAAAATATATTGTAAATTCTAAATTTTTTTACAAAAAATCATCACTATGCATAAAATTGTTATTTTTGTTCTGTTTTATCGCAATTATTATATGACAAACCAATGAGTTACTCAATTAATTATATGCCATTTAAATGTAACTTACGTCAGCCATCAAGGTTCCATTTACGTAGTCCAAGTACCTTTTCATACTAAATTGTGGCCCGACAAGGAAAGAGCCTGGAAAGTACACAAACGCTGTAACTTCTAAAAATGTTGGTCGCTCTTTTAACGCCGCTTTCCTCTGCGACTCGGACAATTTCTTCTGAAACGACAATTATACGGTTTAATGAATTTTAACTCTTTCATAAAATTCCATGATAATTTCGAAGAAGCGTGCTTTTATATACTTTTAAGCGTTAAATACTAATCTTCGAACCACACACATTTTTACCTCCTACGTCTAATTTTAAAAACAAATGTCGTTTTTATAAAAAAATTATACTGTGCACTTGTACAACTTAATATTATATTATATCTACGTAAATACTATCAACATGTAATGAAACTTGGAATTACTGCAAAATTAAAATTTACAATCTAAAAATTCTCAGAAGTATGTTCTTTGTAATTAATAACTAGACTGTGGATATTTATGCAAAATAAAATCTACAGTCTATTAATAACATATAATTGGCAGAAATACAAATTTAGTTCGTATTTATGCGGTTTCAACCATTTTGTTTCCCTATATAAAGTACAACAAGATCTATAACTCAAATTCAAGTTCTGACATACAGACTGTAATAACACAAAAAATTTTATTCTACACAATTTACAGCAAAGAANTGTTAGGACTAATAAATCTCCCACACTGATTCTGAACTTTCGTTTGATTTCGTTTAATTTAATAAATAAATAAATAATTCAGATATCAGCAATTCAGATAATCGAGATTCTGTTGTACTACTATCATTTTATTTATATTACGAATTATATATATATATATATAATAATAATAATAAATATATATCGTATATATATACGAATTATATATAATACTACTCCATCCGTTTTATAGTATTTATTTTACATTTTATTGTTGCCATAACTGTAATATAATTTTTTGATAGTAATATTATATTTAAACAGTGTAATGCAGTCAGATTTTGTGATGAGTTATTTTAAGAATTCTTGTTTATTAGCTGCTCGCGTCATGGAATTCTTAATAACCCTTTCAATGTAGAATTTCGTGCGGATACTAGTAATTGTAAGAACGAGACTGTTGCGTGCGTGTAATCGGATAAGAAGAGCGATACAGCGTAGCGTAGGGTTAGTAGTTAACCATTGGTCAGTCGTTCATATACCGTCCTTTCGGCACAATTATATATGTCCTCTTTCAAGTGCTTCGTATATATACTAGAGTTCGTTTCAGTTTCTCCTTATTATCGATTATATAAAATTAGTGCGATACAACATCGTAGTTAGTCAACAAAGAAGAATTTTGCCTCTGTTGTCTTTTGTGTCGGTAGGAAAATTCATGAATTTAATAATCGAAATAAAATACGCTTCAGATTAATTACATAGGTATCTTTGAATGCGACATATATAGTGTCGCATGATGTTCACAATTAAAATGAGAAAGTGCCGAAACGATGGAGGAATAATAGCGGTAAGTTTAAAGATAAAAATGTTATATATTAATATTCAATTAGTGATGGGATTCAATTGGTTCGCAGTTCGCGGGAACCTGTTTCTAAAATTTTTTGAGTTCGTCAAACCGGTACCTAAGGGTGTCCATTTCTCGCGTTAATATCTTCTATTAATTGCACATCGACTTCACTTTTTGAACTTTTTTAAATCTTAGTGTCAAAACACTTAATTAATCTTAGCTTTTTTATATATAAAATAAATTTACTTATTGTTGGACTTGACGCCACAAAAATTTGTTTGGCCATGGAATAATAAACAATTTACTATTATACATGCATATTATAATACACGCCGTTATATTAAAGCTACGCTTGTAATAGTATACTCTATAATGTTTATTAGACGTTATATTTTAAAGGGAAGTTTAAAAAGCAATGTAAAATATATTATATCGGTTTTCTCTAATCGTTGTTTTGTGGAATTAAATGTGTGACAAAAATAAGAAACGTTTAATAATAGTATTTTTACATTGACCCTGATTTGTCAAAACATGTTCATTTTCAAATTCTTTTAATTCCATTACTGCTACTGTCTAATTTATTAAGAATAACTTAGATATTTAACATTATGATTAAGGATAATCTTAATAATAATCCTAACATCAAGAATAATTTAGATATTTACTTTCATAAACTGCTGTTAGCTGCACTGAATTATATTACGGAGCAACTACAAAAAAATAGTAAAATAAAAATAAATTACAGATAGACTAGATAGAGAAACTAACTCTATATTAGTAATTGATAGCATTTATGTCATTACTTTTTTTGTTTCATTTCCAATAAACTCAAATAAAACCAGTAAAAAAGTTAGTTTAATAGCATTCAAGTATTGCATAAAGTATTCAACAATAAACAGTATAATCTGTATAGGAGAAATCTCGAAATCGGAACAGATGGTAAAAGGGCGTGGGTCGGCAAATAGGTGTGGGTTTTCTAGAAATTCGATGAAGTGCACATGTCCAGTACTGCATAAACCTTTCACATACATCATTTTAAATTGTTTAAATTTAGTACAAATTAATAAATATTAATTTACGTTGCAGCGAATACGCATATTCGTTAACAAGTTCAGTATTGCGCGCGCGCGTATAAATATACAATATATATAATGGAGAAAAAACTCCACCAACCTTGATGAATACAACCACCAATTACGAAATAATTAACACGCAGCCGACGGGGCCCGGATCCATTTGGCGACGAGTATAAATACTATTGTTTGATTTAGTTATTTTATATTTAATATCTAACAATGAATCGAAAATTTTGCAGAAAATGCAAAAATAACGTGTCTAGAAGGAGTACCTTAACAAAATCTATTGACAAAACTTGATACTTAGATCATAAATGATCCTGATCATATTCGGTTGTATTTTTCTCAACAGAAGTTCAGCGTTCAAGCATTAAATTTATTTTATTTAAATTTATTAAATTTATTAAATTATTAAATTTATTTTTTCATTTAAATTTATCGGAACGTGTGAATGAGACGTTGATACCCCTTGCACAAAAAAAGAAAAGTCATCGGCTCTTCGTTAACATTCATGCTAACCGCGAATGTCGACCGAGTACGCATGCACTTTTGGAATATTCAAAGTTCAATGTTCAATTTTCTCGAAACCGCGACTGAAAAAATATTACTGACTTCCATTGATCTATTATCGAATGCAAAATGATTCCTTACACGCTTGTATCACCCGTGCACGTCATTTTGTATAAGCATGCAAAAAGAAATTCTTACGTTACTGTTATTAGAGATAATTGCTTAAAAAAAAAACAATATTATTTATAGGACATTATAATATTCATTATGTATTACGTACATCGGGTTGTCGGCCATCCAGTACATTGAACGCGAGACCAATTAACCGCAGCGTTAGCACACACTGTGGCATAGTCCATTTTATGTCGTAATCATCCGTACCTGTCATGTAATATCCTGGTAACGGTAAAACGGAGTATTAGTTTTGCATTCGCGGGTTTATTTCACAGACTCGTCTGTCATCTGCAGACTGTGAACGTTTACACAAATGAAACATGAATATATTTTCATATATTATACTTCAGAAGCGTTCAAATAAGGGAAATACAGTAAATTTTCCCCAATTCTCCTTCAGCTTGTAAACAAAGATGGACAATTTTGGAAGAGGAAATACGATTATTCGAGCCTCGCGGCTTATTTTTATATCTGCCGATTGTCTACAATTATAAAAACGAGGTGCAAGACTCAAATAATCGCATCTCCTCTTCCCAAATTGTCCATTTCTGTTTACGAGCTGAAGGAAAATTGAGGAGAATGTACTGTATCTACTTTATCGAGGAAATATTTCCTTATGCTAGAAATGCATTTTACATGTAAATGCACAACAGATTTTCTGACCTTCAGTATATCTATTTCATATAATTTAGTGCTTTTTATGCATATGAAATTGTCTTGCGACAATTACAACAATTACACTCTTAATAGTTTTCGAAATATAAAGAAATTTGGCAATGTAAAGATTATTTTGGAACGTGATATAACAATTTTTAATGGCGCCTCGGAGTCGCCACTTCAGTGCAAAGGGTTAACACTATTTTCATCGATATTTTATGCGTACTTACCTATTTTTACAAAATTAATTTCATAATCATTACAGGAAAACTAGGAAAGTCATTTGAGGAAAAATGATTAATAGACTGCGGATGCATTTGTGACGTTTACACATTTTTAAACTACCTTATCTTATCTTTACAATAAAAAATTATCTAGTTGGCAAATTGAATTCGTTCCTTATCTCGGCATTTATGAAATGATTTATGAAAACTGTGATTTGCAAAGATCCGCAAGTCCAGTGATTAAAGGTATAAAATAATTTTATACTAAAATTTTAAACCACGTGTCTTGATCCCTCTGCTAAAAATAGCGTTAAATTAAAATTGTAAAAGGTGCTTCTCGGACCTCTTTGTTAACAAAAATATTGAATTCAAATTTTGAAAGCTACTACTTGACCCCGTTGCTAAAAATAGCGTTCAATTAAAATTGTAAAGGGTGCTCTTTGACCCCTTTGGTAACAATACGGTTGATTTAAAATTTTAAGTGACGTTATTTCCCAGCTTTCCAACTTTGAGAAATACAGTAAAAATCCATAACCCAACAATAGCACAGAATTTTTAATTATACAGAATAATTTAAACAATTATTACACAATTACACAGAAAATTAATGTATCAGGAAGTAGTGTTATTTTGACAGACGCAGATATATGATATTATTGCGATGAACAGTTAAAATTCCCACAAAGATAACAATTGGATTAATCGAAATACTGAATGAATATTCCAAAGAGAATTTCTTCCGATATGCGACCAAAAAATAAATAAGTTTATAATATTGTTTAATTTTGACAAAACAAATCAATCTTATTTGAAATATTTGTCGTTCAAATGTAGTATTAAGGCATAAGTTTTTATGAAGTATTTTTGAATCCATATTATGAAGAGTGTCTCTGTCAAAAAACACACTATAGTAGGTCAGGTTATCTCTTCAACGTAACACTGATAGTTATTTATCAGTCAATTTATCTACGTCCTTGATTATTTTTCCTTATTTTTCCTGGTCATAGACACCGCATAATTTACTATATGACTCTATTATATGTGCTCTATAAATACCAAAATTTCAATTTTATCATTCAAATTGTCAAAGAAAAATACCGTTTCAATTCATACCAAATTTCAATTTCGTCGTTCAAATTGTAAAAAAGTTCTCTTAGCTAATGTCTAATTAATATGCAAGTAACCAATTAAGTAACAGGATTAATCACAACGTATAATAATTATAGGGTAATAAAGAGGCGTTAATTGAAAGTTTAGAATTCGCTTTTGAATAGGTTGCAAAACTAAATATGAGAGGCCGTTAAATTTTTTCGTTATTAAAAATTGTAAAAAGTAATTTTTACTTTATTCTATTTTACTATTATTTTATAAGAAACAAAGCTAATTAGAATTAGATCGACTCAAGTTTATTAAGTGCAACAAGTGATAAGTGGAACCCTTATGTACCCCGAAGGAAAAATATTTTTTAATAAAATTAAACATGAATTGCAAAACATAAAAAAATTCGTTTCCGGTGATATCCGTACGAAAGGTTTAAAAAAGTATAATAGATCGATCAATTCTCCACTTATTTCTCGTGTGACATGCTCGAACATATGAACACACAATATTCAAGTCCGCATTAACGAACTCCTACGCACATCTCAAACGACAAATTAATATTGCATGGTGCATGGTGGTCGCGAGGTACAAGTGTTAAGTTAAAGCATTAAATTAATTTCATATCTATATGTAAGCTCCTACACGAAAACTCTAATCACATTAAACTCATTGTTAACAAAGATTAGTCTTTCATCGAAATAATCAATTTTTGCACTAAATGCCAAGAATTTTTATAAAATTAAACGGTGCCACATTATACATAAAATGATTGACGTTGCAAATTACTATTTCATTAATTGTGAAGATTAATAGCACTTTTACCAAAAGGATCAAAAGACGCGTTTTCATATTTTAATTAAACAATTACTTTCTTCGTTCAATCACTATCCCTCAATTGGTTATTTAATATCCTCTGTAATAATTATAAATTAATTTGCTATAAATAGGTGTATACAAAAGATCGATGAAAATAGTGTTAAAAGTTACATAATATAGCTATTAATATTTTCATCTGCACAAGATATCATTTAAAAGAATTGTATTACATACCAATCAGCAGGTAAACCATGTTGAAGATGAAAGTGGCGATCACTGACAAAGTAGTGCCACCGAGATACTTCAAAATAAGATAAGTGACACATATCGCAGTTCCTGAATGGACAGTGTTCAACCCTGTAAATTTCGTTGATATTATTAACGTGGTAACGTGAATGAAAAAAAAAAGCAGAAGAGTTTACGAAATTCTATATATAAAAACGGAAAAATGTAAATCAGTCAGAGCAGAGCATAATCAATAATAAACATTACATTTTTCAGTCGAATTTAGAGCGAAAAAGAAAGTAAGCCATTGGAATGTTTATAAAAATACATTATTGACAGGAATATTTTAGGTAGTGCACAAGTGCAAACGTGTTTTGAAATTTCACTTAAGTCTACATTAGCGAGTATTTCTACTAGCGTTCGTGCTACTTTTGCGCACGTTACGACTGAATTGCAACAATGATCCATTATTCTACATGAAACTTTTTATTCGAAACAGTTTGTGTACGTGTCATGAAGAAACTCGAATCCTGCATTTTGTTTCGCAGTCATTCTTTTTGAATAAGACACAGAAAAGTTACGTTTATATAATTTGCAACGCTATCTGTGCAAAGTTATGCGTTTAAAAGTAGTATCATTAATTTTGTCACAAGCTAAGCTATGATTTCGATGAAAAATTAAAAAATAGAATTATCATAAGGTGTGTTTTTATTTTTGATTAAGTAATACTTTTTTCCAAAATTCACATACAATTTTATATCGCGAATAATAAAAGCATTAGGTGTCCTTATAATTATTATTCGTTTAGTGTCAAAATCGTCAGTGATAAAATCGTAGATGAATTTTGTTAAATAGAATTATAAAATGAAAAGCGAATAAATATTCTCTCAAAAGTCTTCCAAAATCAATTACATGTTTAAAAATATTTCTTTTTATGATACAATTGTCAAATTATTTTTCTTTGTCACACTGAACCAATAATAATGAGATGAATGAATTATGTACAATGACGAAATAATGTCAACGTAAAACTGCTATTGTCAAGTTACTCAAGGTATATGTAGATTAGAATAAAACGTTTATATTTACATGATATTCCAACGAAAAGACAGAATGACGAAATATTTGTTGAAAATGTGTAATTCAAAACAGCATTTGTATTCGTTTGATAATTATTTTACAATTTCAATGTTGCTGAAACGGAGATTTCTTTCCGATCAAAATTAATTTGGAAATTCGTCACGTAAACCTGAATACATACAATCATGATTAATAATCGGAATCACTGATAGCAATGTGATTTATATATTTTCTGTAATATGTGTAGTCGTTCGGTAAACGATAGCCGATGAATTAATGGTAGAATGACAGAATGATTGATAGGAGCGTGAAAGGATAAATAATTATCAATCATGATACGCGATTCACAGTATGAAAGAAATGTGTGGTCGATGAATTTCCAAATTTGTACAACGCATTTTGATTTTGTTTTGATAAATGAAACCACTTTACATACAGATGTGCCGCAATATTGCGCCGTACATTATGTAAATAGCTTCCGAAGTTTGTACCATTGTTTGCTGAGCATACATTTGCATAAGATGGTTGTTCCTAACAAAATGCATTTGCGAAACACTACGACTACCTTATTACAGCGGTGCACGGTCGAATTTACACGGAGTCAGGAACGAGCATGTAAATTTAAACGTACGGAACACCTTCTTCCAAGAACTGACTCGAGCTTGGCTCGACAAAATAAGGAAATATGTAGGTAGATAACGAGAAGTGAGATAGATGTACGAGCAGTATATCGAGCAGCGACGGTCGAAGTTTACGCTCGAAGACATTTTAACTCCGATTTCGATTCTTTCTTGATTTTATTATTTTTTCTATATAGAATTGAGCATTTACTCCTGCTGTACTTAAACTATTATCTCTGTTTATTACACTTTGATAATGTAAAAATTGCTCGAAATTACAATATGGTAAATTTTATCGGAGCCTAAGAGATGCGACTCGAGTATAAAGGGTTAAAGATCGCCTTACCTTTATAATCCCAGCGTCAATGGATAGCTGAATTTCTTCCGATTAAAATGAGCCCGAACACGATGTAAATCGGATTGATTTAAGCTATTCTCGGATTAATTAATAATCTAAACTCGTTTTAATCTTAGAGATAGAAGAATCTCAGCTATTCATTGATGCTACAATTACAAAATTAAGATGAAAATGATGGAAAATAAAATTTGTTTTCTTGTACGACGAGGGGATTTTGTCGAAACTATTCACAGATGTTTTTTATAGTTCAAATGAAAATCGTGCCTGTATTTCTGCATGTAAATTTTCGCACAGATTTATCGGTTCAAAAATTAGATAGAACTTTTATTTGAACTATTTTTTTATATCCTTTAGGCATCTGCAATTTATGAGCACTTTGGTAGGTCTAATGAACACTTGTGCAGAGCCGCATCGAAATCGGTGTGCATCAGTCACCATGCGAGTGGTATAAATTTAATCGTGCGCCACTGTACAACGACTTCCTAAATGTTATTTATTACACACTTAGAAAAGCGTCACTTTAATGAGACATTCTTTCACGAAGACTGCGAAATATTAAGATATAGTGAAACAGCATATTGCGCAAAAATGATGATCTTCGAAAAGTTTGTTACGATTTACAAGATTAAAAATTAAACTCTTAAAATTAGAAAACGATCAACATGAAAGCTGCGCGAATTGCATCACTTTAACGTCACAGAATAAAAGATTTATTTATTGCAGTGAAGAAGTGCAGTGCTCGTAGAAAAGAATGTTTGCTACGCGCTTCGTTTAAGACGCAGTATTGTTGGCTTCGATACCCGATACACGTGCATCGTGTGACAAACGTTTTTTTCTAAGAAGACATTCATAAATAATAAATGTTAGTCAACATTTCATTTCCAAGTACATATTATCGTAGCCAATATCGCTAATATCGATGTAACGAGGAAAAAAATTGTACGATTATGATTACACGTTCTATTTATGAAAAAAGAAGTTTACATTTTCAGTTCGAATTCAGTTTTTGTACAAATGCAATATTAATATTCTATCATCGATATAATTTTAGTGTAACAATTATTTAATATTGTTATAATACTGTTCATTGAGTAACGTTCAGTATTTGCTGCAATTATGAAGCAATTTTGCAACTACAGTGAAGAAATTATCTATTGCTGTTACAAACAAATTTTAATATATTTCATATTTTAGAAATACTCTTTCAATTGAAATTTCTAGTTTCAAGAATTTTTTTAGCCGCTTTTATCGTAACAATAGATATATTAGATATCTGTTTATTCTTATTATTTCTATGAAATAACATAACGTGCGAAATTCTTCTTTTATTTTTCAACGATCCGATATTACTGCGAAATGCTTATCATATGTGCATCAATGCTGTACTTGTGAATAATGCAATGATTGCAAGCAAAATTATGATGTGTCATTATTTGTCATTCTTGCAACGAAAATGTTTATTCGTTTGCACGAACAATTAGAACTAGCCTGCATGATGAAACAAATCGATCTTTGTTTCTAAACTATTCGTTGTGGTATATTTGTGAATGTTGTCAGTAAAATTATTGAAAATGCAACATCCTGTATACTTTGTCTTTGCAACGAAAATTCGTAATATTACTTTCGTCGAAGAAACAATCTCGATTTCATATTGAGAAATACTCCAACATAATAACAGTAAAATAACGAATTTTACGAGATCTCTAGATACGCCGTTAGTATCATTTCTTCCCAAATGTTACCTTCTTTAAAAAAAAAAACTGCACGCTACAAATGCAAAAAGCAAATATAGTTCCTGTAATCAAAATACGATTACCTTAATAATCGGCAGAGATATTGTTGAAATTTGTTGTATTGGTTTCTCCTCAGCCAATACCTGCAGGAATGTAATTTTTAACTAAAAATCGAACTAAACATTCAATGAAAAAAAGTTCGTATGCAAACATAATGATTCCATGAGCTGTGTTAAGAAGTTACGTTGAATTTACCCTTTGAATATGTAATTTTGAATTTTTATAAAGTGACAACCCTGTAAGCAAGCATGTACCTACGTTACTACACCTGTTGGATCGTCCCATATTCTACGTGTTTTTTGGTAGAAGCTTCATATTAAAAATTAAATCTAGATATTTTGTTAAATTTAAATGAAAATAAAATAGATGCAATGTTTTACGTAAATAAGAAAAATTTGTTTTTATAAATGCAAGTTCGAAGAAGTTCCATTAAGAAATTATGATAGAAATGTGAAATATGTGAAACAGAAATGGAAATAACAATGAATTTTCATTTGCTGTGTTAAGCCGATGATTTGTATGCAGTAACTCATATTGAAATCCATGCACTAACTTTATTTCAATCAATTTTTTTTTTAATGAAAATTATCACAGTATTTGAATGTGACATATGCGATACTTGCACTGGATAGATTACTTTATTACTTGGAGAAAATTGTGCTAGTTTTTACTATAATAATCTACTGATATTTACGAAAAGGTGATCATTTATCAAAAGCTATCTAATGGTTTTCAGGTGTAAAAAGTTTATAGTCAATTGTATTTCACAATTTTATTACTTGTTTAATAGTGAGTTACTTCATCGCCTATTTTAAATGTTTCTAGTAAAATGAAGGATCAAAGTTTTAATAGGAATAGCAAAAATTGTAAACAAAGGTCATACCATCGAAAAAAATATTCATATTCTTAGCAATGATAAGAACTGGTCATTTCTTCTGGTTCGGTAGATTTGGTGTCATTATTTGAAAAACAGTGAAAAGACGTGAACAATGATAATTGTCCTCCAATAATTACTAAGCAAAATCATTTCGTACAATAAGTATATAAGTGATCGTTTTGAGAATCGTAAAAATGAAACGCAGTAACCATAGATTCCAGTTATAATACTCTAATCCACTTATATACAGGATGTAAAAAAAACACTCAATATTCAGAGAAAAAATTTAAACGCACGTCGAAATCTCAGCTCATTCCATGACGCGAACAGTTTTGCATTTTAACATCACTACAATTTTTCAATTATCATTATTAGCTTTTTTCAGTCATACTCATTTCTCAGTATATTATACATACATACTTCGTAATAGAAGGTTTCGTCGGCAATTGAACAGATGTTAATACCTAATAATTACCTAGCAATAAGTCAATCATGATGCTAACATAAAAAACATTCAGCTCTCGGAAAAAGTTCAACTTTCGACGTGTGTTTAATCATATATCATGGTTTTAATAAATACGAGGAATTTTTGCCATTCTTTTTATCACGGAGTACAGTTGATTGCGTCAAAAATTATCTGACATACAGAAATGTCTTTTTACGAAGATTGAATAGTTCCAATTGTTTTGCGTATTATTAATTTAGCAGATACGACATCTG